AAAGATTTGCACGTCCCGGAGAGGGGTCCCATTTGCCTGCTTGTGACGTCACGGTGACAACACGGTGAACGAATGGGACCCCTCTCCGGGATCGGGCGCAAATCTCTACTCCGGAGGTGCGCCAGGTTTGGGAGAGCGCCGGAGCACCGAAATGGGTGAAATGGCAGGGCACCGGAGCGCTCCAGAGCGCCAAGTGGCAGAACCGCCCATTTACCTGCCGGAGGTATCCCTTCGACTGTCTGGCTGCGATGCACAGCTGTGTGTATACTTTGGCAGGGCCTCCCAAGCTGTGAAGGAGTTCGATGTTACCGGTTTCGGTCGGATGTCTAGCTAAAAGCCGGCCAGGCCAGATCCACCGCCGTCTGATTTTATGGTCGCTAGGCGGTTCTCCCCGCTTCAAGCCCGGGGGACAGGGATCGCCCCGTGGAAATCAAGAGTTAGCCTAATAAGTCTGCTCTTGTAGAAGAACAAACCTTATTACTCAGACAGCAAGAAGATATAGAAAAATCCTGTACATCGGATCCCGCCTACGGCGCCGGGTGATAGCAAGAACGATGTCAGGGTTCTTAGGGCGACTTTTGGATCGGACAAAAACGACACGTCCCGGACGACACGCCATTGAGACTGCTTCATGCTCTGCACCTACAACGCCAGGACAGTCTCCACAAACGCCGACCTTCACGCTCTTCTCGACGCTGCAGAGCACATCAAGTACCACATCATTGCTCTGCAGGAAACGAAGTTCAGGAAGAAGGACGTGCGGCAGATGAGTGATGGGACCATCATCATTCGTGGTGAAAAGGTTCCATCACGAAATGTGGGAGGGGTCGGCTTTGTTGTCCACCCGTCTATCGTAACGAAAACGGCAACCGTCTTGTTGGGCTTCTTTCCGCCGCACGACTTTTCCATGGAAATTCCATCTTCATGACGAAAGAACATCGCCGGTGGACATGGGAATCGCCCAATGGAACGACTTACCCTGATCGACCACATTTTCATTGACCGAAGGTGGAGCTTGCTCGATGTCTTAGTAGTTCCATTCTGCAGTGGCTCCGATCACCGCTTCCTTCGAGCAAGAGTACGATTCAGTCGAAGGCTGGAAATGAAGGTCTGCCACAATTCCGCAAGAAGAAGGTGTTTATGACGGTAACAGGCTGGAGAAGCTCATATCAAGTTGTGACGGTCCATTGAGGAGGACCCAGCGTACGACTACGACCGGCTTCTGAAAAGATTGCGAGCCTGCGGATAGTGCGCCTCAGTGACTTCTGAGAAGAACTTGGCACGCACTTCGAAGACCACCAAGGAAATGCGAAAGAAAAAGATTTCTGAAACAGGATCCGAATGCAACCCATCTCGAGCGACCGATAGTCAACACCAGTTGCAGAACAGCTTTGCAGGAGGATCTCAGGAAGTACAGGCAAGCCAAGATACTGGAAGCAGCCGAAGGAAAGCGAAGTCTCAAGAAGTGCCGAAGGGACCTCTGTGAATATCACGTACCGCTGACTGCGCTATTGAACGAAGAAGGAACTCCGACTTCTTCCCAATACAAGATGGAATCTATCGCGAAGAACTCTCACACCAACCTCTTCCGCTCATCAACACCCGTGCCGATGTCCGTTGTTCCCACTGGAGAAGTACCACCACAGATTCTACTTGCTGAAGTGCGCACGGCGATTTAGACCATGAAGACGTCCACGGTTCCAGAAACAAACCATCATTCCGTCGAATTTCTGCGAGCCGGAGGACAACATCTACACGAGATTCTCGTCAGAAGGAAAGGATTCCCGACCAGTGGAGAAAATTAAAAACCGTCCTTCTTTTCAAGAAGGGCGAACGGGAAGATCTTCGGAACTACCGTCCAATATGCCTGCTGAGTGTGCTGTGCAAGCTTTTCACGAAGATTATCCTCGTTCGCATATCTAGGACACTGGATGAAGCCCAAAAAGGGTTCAGCTGCATGGACCACATCCAGACGGTTTCGAGCGTTATAGAAGTCTGCCACCGACTGCCTCACGTCCTGACCTTCGTCCACTACGAGAAAGCCTTGACAGCGTCGAAACCAACGCCATCCTGTCAGAGCTGATCAAGGAGTGGACCCAGCTTACGTGAGGATGAGGATACTAGCGACTGCTACAAGGACTGTACAACAACGATGCAGCTATTCCATCGCCCTCTGACCATTCCATTTGGAAAGGGTGTTTGACAAGGCGACACAATTTCGCCGAAGCTGTTCACCACGGCCTTGCATTGGGTGATGAAGTCACTGGACTGAAACGAGAGAGGCATATGAGTTGAAGGGAGATTCCTGTCGAACATTCATTTTGCGAATGACATCGTTCTCTTCTCGAGCAGTATCACCGAAGCAGAGACGATGCTGAAGGAACTGAACGAAGTAGGGAAGAAGATCGGACTGCGAATAAATCGGAAGAAGACTCAGTTTATGAGGAACGCCCTTTGCGAAGATGCAGAAATGGAATTGGAAGGCACCCCTATTATGGAGACGTTTTCTTACGTGTATCTCGGACATTTCGTTATCGCGTTTGATAAACATGGAGAACGACTTGAGAAGAGAACTTAACAGGAGAAGAAGAGCAGTTTAGCCACCCTCGAGCCTCTAAAGGAAGCCACCGACCAACTGACGGACTCGGAGCTTCGTGCCCACCTGTTCGACTCAACCGTTCTCTCGGCGCTCTGTTACGCAGCTGAGACTTGGGCTGACACCGTAGCCACTTCGAAAGCTTCAAGGACCATCCACAGAGCGTCAAAGCGTAACCTTCTGAAGATGACCCGACACAAACAACATCTTGTCGGACTTCGCAGTACGGATATGAGGAGAATGTTTCCGTCTTCATAACGGATTACGTTGCGAAAGCGAAGCATCGGTGGGCCGTTCACATTTGAGAAGAACAGACGAGATGGGCACTAAGAACATCGGAGTGGATTCTTCGCGAAGCAAAACGTTCCCGAGGAAGACCTCCAACGAGATGGGCAGACGTGTTCGTAGAGCGGATAAACCAGCTGAGAAGTTAGCTGGATACGATTTTTGCACCTGGAACTCGTGGACGCAGTCACCGACGTCAGCCAAGAAGATCGTGGATGTCTGAAGCGAGGGACAGGGAGAAATGGAAACTTCTGAGCTGGGGCCCGCACGTCACGTGAAGCCGGGCCATCTAAGTATCTAAGTAAGTATTTTTTCTAGCATACTTAGGTAAAGGTTATTGCTCTGCTTTATTACAAGCATAAAAAGGCTGACTTTTTCCGTCAAAACTTACTCAAATGTGTTTGGAGATGAGGCAGCTTCAGATGCTGAAAAGCACTGAAAATTGTGCTAGGTAGTTTCTAAAGCCTCTAATTGTAATTTGCATTTGACTACGAAAAACACGCCCATTTAACAAGGTGGGGCTTTCTTGCCTAGGGTGGGTGTACGGTAATGAATAAATGTTTTTAGAATTAACTACAACAGCGGTAGTAGTTATTAGGTATGCTGCCCACAACTTTGTTCAATCTTTGCGATAACAACATTATCAATCTAGCGCTTTTGTTTTTTACCTTGTTCAAGTTTAATACGATTTCCTTTCAAAAAATATGCTCCAATGCAGCTTTCCACTCCCCTATCCACGCCCGAATACGACCCCATATTCAGGCACGGCTAATTCGAGGGTGGCACACTTTATGAACGATAGCGCGCGCTTAGGCAGGCATCTGTCAGTAACGTACGCACCGTTAGCCCCGCCTTTAGCTGGATGAACGAGTTTTCTGCACTACAGCTTTAGCATCAGGGCCCGGCACGAGGTCGGCAAATGACAAGCTGGAAATCGTTTTGGGGCCAAAAAGCAAAGGGGAAATCGTTTTTGCGGGGTCCGGGGCGAAGCCCCGGAAAAAAAATTGGTAGTTCATGCTCGCTACTTATCTTGACATGTTATAGGCTGTACCAGCCGGCATCGGTGCCGCGCCAGCATGCCTTGCGACGACGCACCGTCGCATGTGGCGTGCCCTAACGCGCGGCAGAGTTCGCAAGCGTCACATCGCATCGTCGCAGTCGCCGCAGGCGCGACGTCGCATAACCGATGCGGGTTGGTATAGCCTATATGTGCCTCAACGAGCGAACACTGGAGTTCGCGCGCGTCAAACCGCGCCGTCGCTAATTGCCGCACGCACGACGTCGCTCAAGCGATGCTATTTGTAACAGCATACATGACTAGTTCTCAATGTATGTGTAACGATATGGCACCAAATTTTGTATGCGAACGGAGAGAGGCTAGTGGAAACATGGTATGAAAAATTATGAAAAACTTATGTGAACGGAACGAGTAATTAGCATTTTTTCAGAGAATTTCGCAAAACTGGTAAATGAAGATGTGAATTCAAACGACTCGTTTAGAACGCGCAGATTAACGATATGGTACGAAACTTGGTAAGTACATGCACACGGGCTTGCAGGGCTTAATTGAGGAATTTCATTGAAAAATTATGTGACTGAACGTTGTGGCAAACTTTTTTCTGAAAATTTTGCGCTACCAAAGAAATGGAAAAATAGCTCGTTTGCAACGCAGAGGTAACGAAATCGTGCGGGATTCGGTGTGTATATGCGCAATAGGACTGAGTAATAAAGTATGAAATATTATGAAAAACTTATGTGAATGAAGAGCGTGCTTAACTAATTGCCGACCTCAGGTGGAAATTAGGTCGGCATTTGCCGACCTGATTCCCACCTGATGTCGGTAAAACTCTCAATTCACATAATTTCTTCAAAATTTTTACATAAATCTACTCTACGCTCAAAGATTAGTATATACTGAAAATTTGGTTTGAAACCTCCTCCTCTCCTTGTTGTTAGAGGCAAAAATACCCTCAGCAGCCCCCTTTCCTAAGGAGGAAAGCGCGCTCCAATCGAACGGCGTATCGCTGAGTCCTACAATCTCAGCGACGCCGATCTAAGCTCTCATACATACTGCGTTTGCTTTGCTTTATCGAGCTATTGTATTATCTAAGTATTTCAGATGACAGAGGAAGAGTCGGTATCGAGAGGAAATATTGAGGAGGTACATGGCCAGTTGTTCGAAGTTGGGCCTCGCTTCGATTTTCTTGGCGTGATTTCACATACTAGTTCTTATGTTTTACGTCTTTTCAAATCTGCGACTTTGGCTTCGCTCGAGTCACAGACCCGCAGACAGATCACGCTGGTTTTCTAATCGAGTACCACAAGGTAAGTTTTGATCAAGTCTCTATTATCTGTTTGAATCTCAATACGAAAAATTAGTTAAAGTCCTTGCTTTGAAATCGGTCTCATTTTCGAGGTATCTAGGGTTTCGCTTATGTGATTAACCTTTTTAGGTGGTATCGAGCCCCAGAAATCATGCTGAACTCAAAAGGTTACACAAAGTCCATCGACGTGTGCTCGGTAAGCGACAGTTTCTCGTTATCACCTTATACGCCCCCCTTTCCCCTTTTTATGAGTGTCATGATTGACCAATCCTTTTTGTATCTAACTTAGCTGGGCTGCATTCTTGCCGAAATGTTGAATCGTCCGCTCTTCCCCGGCAAACACTACCTCAATCAGTTGAACTTCATCCTCGCTATGGTAGAATCCCCATCACAATATTTTGGATCTTTATTTGTTTTTTGGATAGAAATAAAGTTTTTTGAAGTTTTTTCTTCAATCAAACTTTTCTGTGGACAAAGTACTGCGCAAGCAATGGTGCCAGTTTCCGGGTCAAATGGGAATTCGTAGAAAAATGGGTCAACGGGGGAATTCGTTTTCGAAAACCCCTTTTGCCCACCTCGTGCCGGGCCCTGTCTAGCATTGGTTCATGCCATATTCACTAGTCTACGAAAAACAGTTCTTGATAGTAAGCCTGTCAGCTTGTGCAAAGCTTCTTCTAAGAGAAAATCCCTGGCAAAGTCTTGAATTGTGTCCCTTGCTGTTTTTTTTTAATTAATAGGACACTTATTTGTTAACTGAAATGTTTTGAAGTTTAGCTGAGTTGACTTCATAGTTGACCCGAGCTGATATTTAGTTTTGAAGTGTGAAAGACAATGTCGACTACCTCAGGCATGATTGTCTGAGTGACCTCACACCTTTCGACAAGGTCACAAACAATTTCGCTGGATTACCAGTCGGTTTCTATAAGGGATAACAGTTTTATAAGTGTAGTACGACTTTCCTTTTTATAATTTTTATTTGTTGCGGGTATTACTCAAGATTGCTTCTTCTTGAAATTAACATCGAAAATGATCATTATTCATTTCAAAAGTAGAATGCTCACTTAAACCACTTAAGAAACCTCAATGTTGCCTCTGCCATGTGAATTTGTTAGAACCTATATAATATAGAAAGTTATAATTTTGTGCTTTCCAGTGATGCCAAACAAAGATCCTCCATCAAAATTTTTTGAATTTCGTTAAAACTGTAAAAAGATGTAATAAAATTTGCTTAGCAATGATTATGCTTCAAAAAACCGGAAAGAGGAAACTCTGAGATAGGATTCTTAATAACGACGGTTTTTATTCGATAAGTTGACTTAGTTCCAAGCCAAATCTCCAGAGTTTTTAGAAGCAGAACATTCAATAATTATGACATCTCCAAATTACGTGAAGATACTCTAATCGTTCAAAATAAATTCAAACAAAAGTTCGAATGCAATGGATCAAAACGCTGTACAAAAAACACTCAAATCAAAAAAGAGCAGTGAGCTATTCGAAACTGAAAAGATTTTGAAAGATGATGAAAATTTAAAAAATTTCATGAATTTTGTAACTTACTGTGTAACTCTGAGATGCAGCAATGATACAAGCATGAATGACGTGAAAAAGAGCCTTTTCATGGCCTGTCTTCGGGACCAAATGTTTCCAGCCGCGCCGCTGTTGGTGTTCAAAGCGACGCGTGCGCAATTGGATTTAACGGGGCCTGTAGTCTTGCGTAACTGATTTTAGACAAGTGCTTTGAGGACATACTTGCATGAAGTTTCTGATTGTGACGAATTATCTCACTGACATATGACTAAAGCGTGATGCTCAACAATTCAGGTTTGCTGGTTGCCATATTGGGTTCATATCTAACAATCCATTGTCGTCTCAGTGAGCTCGATCATGATAGCGAATTTTATCGTTAGTGGCCTTCAAAGTGTGAAGAATGACTGAGTAACAGCACTCTGCGTTACAAACACAAAGACTTGTGACCAGCCAACGTTTTAGCAGATCATCTTCTTCAGAGCCTGAAATAGGTAATACGATCTGCAATTTATTCGACAACATCTCTGCAGCAAAGTGAGCCAAGGGTTAAGACTCTTGTTCGGCACAGCTGGCACCGAGTCAAGCTGGATATTGTTTTTGCGGTTTAACACGCTGTTTCCTAGAGTGCCAGGGGCACGCCGCTGGCATGTCGGGGGCATGCTTTCTTTATACCTCTGCTTATTAGCATGGCGGCAGTATGCCACTCTCATGTCAAGGGCAAGCCGTCAGTATGTCGCCGACTTGCCGGTGACAAAGCGCGAGAAGTTTGATTCTGCCCCAAATAAACAAAAACTTTTTTTTACAAGCAAAACGCAGTCATACGACACCAAATTTGTTGTGTGCATGCGCCGTGGGGACCGAACTTGGCCCAAAACTTTATGAAAACTTATGTGAATGACAGCTATGCTAAACTTTTATCTGAATTAGCTGGCACCGTGACAGCTGGGTGATAGCTGAGCTGGCACCGACCCTTTGCTCCCATTAGTTTCCATAATTTAAACGTAAATTGTGTCTACACTGTAAAAGTTTACATGCAGAGAAAAGACGATCTCATTATGTTCTTTTTTTTGGCGTATTGTAACCAGCAGAAAACACTTCGGTCTGCTTCATGGTCGAAAAATCTGCGCCGATCACGAAGTGCGCCCTAAGCAAATGCAGCGCGAAATCCATCGATTTCATTTCATTAATCGGTCAAATTTGTCGTTCTTGTAATCTTGTATTGTTTACTCTTGTATTGTTCTTTATATTGTTGTAATTGTTACGTTCCAAGCGTCTCATCGGGATCTAAAAGATGAGGGCCTTCAGAATAGGTCAAAGGGGACTCCGTATAAACTTTCCAAGACCAAAGGAGATATTGTTTTTTCTCTAGTGCCAGCTCGTGCCGAGCCCTGCTCTCGTTGAATCACTAGCTCAGCCAAACAGCCAATAGCCAAACGCTCACCTTTTCACGCCGTATGCCAGAGAGAGATTACTATTGATTGCATATGAGAACCATATTTATAGCAGACTAAGTCAGAGGAGCTGACGAGCAATGCGCGAGCTCACGTGTGATCGCCACGCATTCCTCTTCGCGATCAATTCGAAGAACATGGTAGGGCGTCGTCGCGGCGATTCAATGAAATCTCTTCAAATGAAGATAGATTGTTAACATTTGACGTTTTATCAAATCCCTGTAAGCTTTGATTTCCAAATATCGAAAGCCGATCACGAAAAAATCGTTTTAAACATCTTTTCCCGACGTTTTCGTCAAGATTAATATGTTGGAGGTCGTGTTTTCCACCCGTAGAGGCTCAGTTGTAGAGTACAATATAGCGATGTGACTAAAGTAGCAGCAACTCTCTTTGGCATATTCTAGTTTATTTGAGAGCATGACGTCTAAAGGAATTGCTAGCCCTTGTAGCCATAGGCCAGTACTACACAGTGCTACGCAGACTTTCCAGGAAAATTTTGCGACTCAAAGATTTGCAGGGCAAAAACTGACAATTTTCTCGACCTTTTTTGACGGGCTGTCTAAAAACTTGTCTAAAACATTTTTTCATCAACAGTAAAGACTGGGAGGTCTCATCTCAGCTAGCTATTGTGGTGCTTTCTTATCTATACTATTCGTATAGACGTCAATCCAACCTGCACAGAAAATCGCAAAAGACTTCCGGGGGGGGGGAGGGCAGCGGAGACCTCCGGGGCGCGCTCTTAATCACTGGGGCCGCCGCGTGAGGCGGGGCTCGGGCGATCCACTCGAGTGACGAGAGCCTGACAAAGAAGCGAAGCACGGACTTCCGGATTTTCTAGTTTTTTTTTGAGTTAGAACTTCCTTTAACAAAACATGGGAAACAAGGTGGTATTAAAATTTAGGCAGTAAAAACGTAACAGTACATTGTTGCTCACTGCACCAAAGAACCATGGATTCAGTTGTATGTAATATGCATAAATAGCGAAAGTCTCCACCAGCACCCAAGAATGGGCATCCCATCTCCAAAGGTGGTAAGAGCATTTGCGCTATCCATTGCGGATTTAAAGTGGCGCTGATTACGGTTTCTATACGCACATCTCTCAAAGTTGACTTAAAAATTTTCGTTTGCATACCTGTCGTAACAAACGAGCTTGTGCTGTGCAGGCTTACAAATTGATGTGCGAATCATATACTGGGTTGTTTCATAAGTTCTACCCGTTTTCGAACTTTGACTTTAATTCACCATAACTCCTCTCAGAGATAATCTTTGCAATTGTTATAAACTGTATTACAGTCTGCAAATCTTTGGCTATTCTGCACATTCGTTAAGGTGTTATTGCACTAACGAGAAGATTTTATAGGCGAAAATGGAGGGACATCTCCTTGTAGAAACCTTCACTTTGCCAAAGGATAGCTTGATTTGGAATATAGCTGAGTTGCACAAGCACTGCTCACAGTGTAGCCCATAGTCGACTGAGCAGTACCGCTAACTTTGGATTTCATCAAACTCTTTCATAAAAATTTTGTGCTGAAAAGTCCAAAAGGGCCCACTTATTTTGCTCTTTCTGAGGCGGCAAAAAATGCAATTTTTGGCACTTTTGTTTTTATTCACCGTTGACAAACCAGGAAACCTGATGTGGAACGCGTTGAGCCGTTGACGATTTATTAGAAAAACACAAGAGTTCCCCCTCTGCCTATCGGCGTACATGCCGAGGGTTCACTAGGAATAACTAGAGAACAACGCACACAAATATATGAAAGTGCGGCGGGTACGCCGCAACCACAGAGACCATATCGACCTAGCCTATAGTGAGCGAGCAAGTTCCAATATAAGGGACGGCTCTACAACACCTCCCTCCTAAGATGAACAACGGTACATCCTATAACAAGGATCTACTTGTAGACGTTCTGGTGGACGACGATGGCGACTTGGTCTGGTTGATGTCGGTGGTGTAGAAGAAGTGGCTTGGTATTCAGCAACATCCATACTATTGTTAAGTCGGTCTTCATCGGAAGTGGACTGTGTCGAGTCATAATGTCGATCCATACTTGCTGCTCGGCGCATCTGGTTCGCATGACGTCTCCATAGCTGACCGTCTTCAGTAAGCACGCCAATAAGGCTTCTCCATAGCGTTTCTTCACTCGAGCTGGAATCCATTTTTCACATCCAGCGCTAAAATCACGTACCCACACGGCTTCTTGTGGCTGGTACGCTCTCTGTCGTGCTCCATGGTGGCGGTTGAACTGCTTCTCCATGTTTTCATTGCCCATTCCTCCTTCTTTGAAGTCTTCATTCAGCAGCGACAGTGGTGTCCTTATCTGACGTCCCAGGAGCAGCTCGGCAGGCGAACGTTGTTCTGGAGCAGTTGTACAAGGCGTCCGTCGATAAGACTGCAGAAACTCCGCGAGCTTCTCTGCCGTTCCTCCCTCCTTAATTTTCTGGAAGGTTCTCTTGAAGATATCCACAAACCTCTCCGCTTGTCCATTTGATTGTGGATGGAATGGAGGCGAACGCATATGCTTGATTCCTCGCTCTTCACAGAAATCCTGGAACTCCTTTGCTGTGAACTGCGTCCTATTATCCGACACGATCACTTGCGGATTTCCAAATCGTGCGAATAGAGATCTGAGTTCCTTCAGAGTAGCTGTAGTTGACGATGCAGGCATCTCAAACACTTCTGGCCATTTCGAGTAAGCGTCAACTACGACGAGATACATCTTACCATTCAGCGGCCCTGCGTAGTCAATGTGAAGTCGATTCCATGGTTTGTCTTCAACTTTCCATGAATGCAGCAACGTCTTCACTGGCATTTTGGAGGCTTCTTGACAATCTCTACAGCGGCGCACTGAGTCTTCAATTTCTCTGTTGATGCCCATCCAATAGGCGAATCCTCTCGCGAGCATCTTCATCCTTGTCATTCCAGGGTGACCCTTGTGTAACTGCTTCAAAACTGCTTGTCTCAGCGAAGCTGGAATGACTATTCTGTGAGCGAAATACAAACATCCGTTCTGCACTGATAAATTCTCCCTCAGTGCTCTCCAGTTTCGGATTCCTTCTTTCGGTTTGGACGGCCATGCTCCCGATTGCAGCATACGTATGACTTGGGCAATGGTTTCGTCCTTCCTGGATTCTTCTTCAATCCTTTTCCGGGTTACTGGTAACGCTCGTATAGCAGCAGCTTGGACGGCTCGCACATCTTCTTCTACTTTCGCTATGACGACGTCTTCGGTTTGGAATGGCCGTGGAGGGATTAGTCGAGACAGTGCGTCGGCTTGTCCGAATTCGGTCGTCTTGCGATACTCCAAGTCGAAGTCGTATGCGAGTAGAATAAGCTTCCATCGTTGCAATCTGTTCGCTGTGTACACAGGCACCATCTTCTTGGGTCCAAAGATGTGTAGCAGCGGCTTGTGATCGGTAAGCAGTCTGAACCGTCGTCCGTATATATAGCGATGGAACTTACAAACCGCGAACACCAGGGCTAATCCTTCCTTTTCAATTTGTCCGTAGTTCCGTTCTGCAGCTGTGAGGCTTCGGCTTGCATGGCAAATAGCCTTCTCTGTACCATCCGGCATCTTGTGCAGAATCACAGCTCCTATTCCGTAGTCCGATGCGTCGGCAGCTACCACTATCTGCAATTTCGGATCGAAATGTGTGAGAAGTAGATCCGAGGCTAGAACCTCCTTGGCACGCTTAAATGCATTTTGACACTCTTCTGTCCATTCAAACTTCGCGTCCTTTTTGAGCAATGCGTCCAGGGGTGCACGAAGTTGGCGCATCTCTGCTACGAACAATCCATAGTAGTTGATCATCCCGAGGAAGGATCGAACATCCGCTATGTTCTTCGGAGCTGGCATCTGTTGAATAACCTCGATCTTCTTTGGATTTGGCCGGCGTCCGTTTTTGTCGATGATGCAACCTAAGTAACAGAT